GAGGTTGGCCCAGAATCGGACATTGTTTCATTCTGCTGTGCATGGATGGGGTCGCTATGAGTCAGTTCCGACTCGATGGCACCTGACAACAACAACAACAATAATCATTACCTTTAGTTATATTTTATTTGCAATGACTGGAAGTGTAAAATGCCCACTTAGTCATCATCCAGGAGAAAACTGGAGTGTAAAAAGCATGTTAGTACCTGATTTAGATGCTAAATGAGCTCTAGGAATGAGGTAGGTTGAATGTTTGTTATAGGGCAGCCACCTTGCATGTATAATCTCATTTAATCTTTTTAAGGATCCTCTGAGACAGCTACTATTTTTAGCACCATTTTACAGCCCAGGACATATACACACAGAGTTTAGTAGTTTTGCGCAAGATCAAGAAGTGAGTGAGGACTAAATTCCAGGCCCTCTGCTTTTAGAATATGGTGCTAACCTACCAGGTAACATGACTCTCGGTAGAGTGGAATGGTGCTTAGAGCTGTTCCCTTTTCCCCATCATAAACCTTGCGGGAAAAGGTCCGCTGACATTTAAAATACATTTACCAGAGTCTTCAAGATTGTAACTCAGTGATATTAAGCTTGTCTTTTATTTGAAATGCTTTCTGTCAAAATCCACTTTAATTGTACATGCGTTTACTCTCTCTCTCTCTTTCTATTTCATTTATGTCTCCCAAGACATTTATGTAAAATGTAAGTACATTAAGTGTAATTACTTGAAGGTTGCAAGGTGGAAACCCTAGAAATTGTCTTTCAACTTCAAGCTAATTTCCACTGACCCACTTGCACTGCATCAGTTCTGACTCGCAGCGATCCTGTTTCTGAGGCTTTTGAGATGGCACACCTTTACAGGAGCAGACAGCCTCACGTTTCTCCCTCAGAGTAGCTAGTGGGTTTAACTGCTGACCTTTTAGTTAGCAGCCCAATACCTCACCCACTGTGTCACTAGGGCTCCTTAATTCCCATTTACAATGAAAAGTGATGGTTTGCATTCACTAAACATGGACACATAAAGAACTAGTAATAGAAAATATATGTATGTATTTTTTGCTTTAAGATATATGTAATCCCCTCTATACACAGAGTAGACAGGGATGGGCAACTTGGACATTGGCTACCCAAAATGGAGGAGCTACAAGGGTGGGGCTGATGAAAGGAACTGCGGATAGATCTCTTGTGATACAATAGTGAATAATTGTTATCAGGACTGACTGTGAGGGCTGGAAATGTAAAGTAGACGTTTTATAGCAAGGAGGGGAGTAATTAACTTTTCAGTCTAGGAGTGGAGGTCCCTGGGACCATCAGGGGAGAGGAGCAGAGGGCAGGACATTACCCAGAGAAGCAGTGATGCCTGAGATGGAGGCAGAGATGATGACGTGGAGAGATGGAGCAGCTGGGGACTTTAGAGCCAAAGAGGGAGAGGGGCTGTGTGTTGATGACCAGGGGGTGGGGGGCAGGCTTGCAGGGTATACCCTTTGATTGGTTGATAATGCATAGAGGGGATTGTAACCATGGCAATGAAATGATATATGATAGGATGAATGTAAAACTAATGTTCTCCCATGTAAACTATCACATAATTCACAATGAAACATTAATACATGTAATGTATACATGTAATACATGTAATACATGTCAAGTGCTGTGCAGGCCTTCCTTCAGAGCCTCTTTTGAACTTTCAGAACTTGGCTCCAGTAACCCCAAACAAAACACGACTTACTGTTTATAGT